CAGAACAAAAGCACACCTCTGAGTGTGTATGTATGTGTGAATGCGCTTAAGTGACGATAAAATTACATCGGTTTTATCGAGATTTACATGTGTCGATATATTGATGCTATTAAATACAGAAACAATAGTCGCAGACTTTTGCAAATTTAAAAACTAAATAAAATTTCGCGTGGAAAAAAAACAACAAAGTATCACCTGCACAGTTTTTCATTGTGAGATATTTTTTCACATTTTGCAAAAATTAGAGATAATATGTAAACGTTTAAGAACAATTTTGGTGTTACTCGCAAAAATAAACTTTTGTTTTGTGCAAAAACAAAGAGTGTTATATAGAAAACACGCCGTGATGTACGCTTTGTTGTCTGATATGCAAATTGGTGTAGCAGACAAACATGAATATTTAAAACGTAATAAGTGCCACGCGCAAAATATTTCTTCGCGCAAAGCGTAAAAATTGGCGTGTCTCGGTAAAATTGCGAGTAGCAAAAAGTCGTAGAAAATGCACAGGATAACGAGCATATCCAGCTGTGTCATTATAGACTGCGTTGTATCCTGTCAACGGTCTAACGACCTCCGATCCTATTTCCCGACCTTTCGTCGAAACGGTTAGACGTGAAACACGCGTACAGCATTTCTTGCGCCAATGATGACTGGCAGCTGCAAGATTCTCAAGGATCCGCTACACCTCTTCATTTTTTTTTTTTAATGAACGACCCTCTTAACCTTAAACCTTTTCGGTGGAGTTTTGCGTGCCACAGGGAACAAAGATGAAGGGAGGGAGCGCCCTTAATGGAAGTTTAGTTAAAGCGGATGGAAAATTAGCGTCGGGCTATGCAAGAGGAGAGATTAATCACCGCAATTTAATATTCGCATCGTCGGAGACTATCGGTTGCGTTGAAATATTTCTCCGATACTTTAATTTTCTCGATATTTTATTTTATTTATGTATTACGCAATAACGAGTAGAAATATGAATAAAACAAATTTGATATATATTTCTGTATTACGTGCTTCAATTCAATAATGGCATTTTCAATCTTCGCGTATAAAAAATTAAATACTAATTTTGTGCAATTTCGCATCCGTGAAAATGTTATTATTGCGCTTGCATTTGCGACGCGAAATATGGCTTCCGGTAGTGCTGGAAGACATAATTCACAATACGGCGAATTCAAATATCCGGCAGTAAAAATTGGCGCCCGTCGCGAGCGCGCCGGCCAGCCGGTCGTGTTAAAACGTCGTTCCATTATTCTAGCGGGGTAGTGACTTTTACGAGCGCAGTACCAGCTCTCGCCGTAGTTATCGCGGCGTTACATCGCGTAGTTACATCGAACGTTGCGGTACGAACACGGTGTGGCTTATTCGGCGTTAGTAATGGGATCCGCCGATTGAGACGTTAATTATCGAAAGATGTACTCGCGCAGTTTCTCGATCCGCGCCGCGGGAGCTCCGGCGGAGCTAATTAACTTGCGGCGAGTTTCTCCGCGTCGATAAAAAGAGTCGCGGATTAATCACGATACGGCATATATACGACACCGTCGTCGTCGTCGTCGTCGTCGTTCCAATCGTCGTCGTGAAAGCCCTACAACGGCCGACCGATACCAGACCTTACCTAAGGCAGCTTATTTGCGAGCGGGTTAGTGACTCCTCTCTTTGCATATCGCCGGGTAATCTGGTTCTAGAAGTCTGGTCTCTGGTTTTCAGTGAGAAGCGATTCTCGTGCTATCAGTCACTCTCGGTGTAATCGTTACGCGCACCGCGCCCGTGATTATGACATCTGGTAAATTATGTACACGGTATATATGGCAACACTATTTATAGTAGCCGCGCGATAATGCACTCGCGCGTTTCGACGCGGTGCAGCGCGTAGATAGAGCTTCGATGTGCTGTTAAGCACGGCTCGAGATAACTACGGACTGAATACGGCTGAAAAAATACTACTGTTTTTAAAACAATGAACCGGCCGTGTTTCGCGGTTTCGATTCCGATTTGAAGGAAAAATTAAAAAAAGTTTTGACAAATAAAAAAAACTCGAACTGTATAACGGAGTGCGATGTTAATGACGGATTGTATTTACAATGTTTAACTAATTCAATGTAGCAATAAGCAGCATCGTTAATTGGAGTTGCCTACATGTAAAAAGCGCATATCCGTTTGACGTAATAATATGGCGACATCAATTAGCAACAATAACAGCGGCTGCGGTCTTACGTTCTGCGACTTCAGTCTACGAAAAAGTATTGCGTTATCGCATAATCTTTGTCCAATTATATTCATACTCGGTCTATTTTTGTATAATTATACGTGGATATTATGTTTTCATTAGCATTATATATTCATTAGCGTCAACTGTCTCTATCTTTGCGCCTGAATTTATGTGTTTTTACTTTTCATAACCTTTAAATTTCAACAAAAATCACTATTATTAATGATTACGTATGTCTCGTTTCACGATACCGCAAATCATTAACAGTAAGAAATTGCTGAGATTGCTCTGTTCAGTCATCCATTAAAATAAACGACGAACAACAAATATTTTTTTCGTCTCGGGTTTCTATTACGTAAATGAGAAATTTCTCGGAGAAGCCACTGATATCGATGCCCGCCTTTAATCGATGCTAATATGTTAACGATGTCAAACTGCAATCGCACGCATAATTAAGTTGCGCTCGATAATTTGATTTCCGCTGCAAAAGTCGATCGCATGCAGCATTTTTAAAAGATAAATAATGATGATAAACGAAACTTTGATATAAATGTTAGTTCAATTTGCGAGAAAATTTCTTATTATTTTAATTAAAAGTTTTTAAGAGTCTTTATCTTATTCTTGGATTCTTTTGTTATCTCAATTTTTATAAAAAAAACTATTTTCGCACAATTATTACTACTTCCATCTACATTAGCTGTTTTCATCAGATATGTGATATATCATAATACATCATATCCGCTTAAAGTCTGCTGACCGCGATAGTGCGTGATCATAATTACCTAATTAGGTCAGCGATGTAAAAAAGGTGTCATCGCGAGTTTCTGAGTAATATACAGATCGTTGATGTCACCGTATCAATTTGGATGATGTATCATAACCTTTCGCCAAGGATAAACTCGCCGACAAAATCGGGTAAAAACAAGATTAGCGTGAAGTATTGCGACACAAATGTGCGCGATGTTAACGCAGCGACTTTATTCAACGAGATAAAATCTGTGAAAACGAGATCTTGGAATTCTAATTTATCGTTCGACTGCCGGGCGTTTTATTATTTTTCCGCGACGTGTTGTGTCTCCGAGCATTACGACGGTGTAAACACGCGTGCGATATCACCGCACTTGCAACGTTAATGTATTGCGGTAAGTTTGCAGAACGCATTATTTGCGATTTATCTGATTTGCAATATTGTACCGAACAAAAGATACGCGAATATACTTGTTTTTATCGCACTTTAGATAAATGTTCTCCGAATCTCATTAAATAAAATCTTTCTTAAATGACACGTGTGACGCGCCACGTTTATAAATAATAGCAGTCATTGTGAACTTTTAAAAGTCCGTAATTGCCATTTATATATTTTCATTCTTCACTTCCCGTTCTTTCTTTATCTCCTTCTTTATCCTTTAATAAACAAGACAAACGTAAAGTCTCTGGAGCCTCAGAAAGACAGAAATCAGGGTGCTCCGGAAATAAATTCTAATCCCGTTTCACCGTAACAAACGCCGACGCTAATTTCGCAATTACGTATTCGCTGTCTCGGCCCGCTTCTCCCAACGGCGCGGCCAGGAAGAGATCTTCATCTGCCAACCGCGCGGATAGGACGACCTTAATCCCCCAAACGTCACGTCAAACATTCTCTCGTCGACGCGACGGGCGGCAGTTAATTCCATAAAAGACAAATTCGCGTCGCCGGGAGGAATTCAATTTGTGTTGCGAGTTTTGCATAACAAGTACGCCGCGGTGGCCGCGTATATGTAAGCCCGATAGTTTCTCATTAAGCCACGCTGACCCAGAATCAGACCCCGCAGCGCGACACGGCGCGGGGACAATGGCACTGACGCCGAGGGGTGACCACCCTCTCAACTGCTCGACCGGTGCAATTGCATGTATAGGTAGCATACCGATAGTCTCGCGGGGACAATGCTACGCGTAAGCCTGTATGCGCCCCGGCACGTTTACATATCCCATGTAGTGACGCAAACACTACCGTAGTGACGTAGAAGTGATGCGCAATATACGAAAAGAGCAAATATTCGCCGAACTTTGCTTTCGTCGTTTCATGAGAATGGTATCGAAAGCTTTCTCGGTAATGTTGGCTAATATTGAAACAGAAATGCAGTTTTTATTCGTCAATGTGTAGTAGTTTTCGATATGCAAACCGTGAAAATTCGTAGAATTGCGAAATAAATAAATTTCTAAATTGCAAATACCGCCGAAAGAAAATCTCGCGAGGGAGGCGTGTGGGAAATTCGCTGTGCCAAAGCGTTCGGAAATAGTTTCCTTATCGAAAACGCGAATTTGTATTCAAAAATATTCCAGATGCAGTTGTCGCGCATTATCGCCCGGTCGAAATCGCTTGCAATATTGAATGCATGCACATGTCTCCGCTCGCGTGTATATCGAGTTCTACGAAAAGCTCAGCTGGTGGTTCAATCTCTGACCTATATGGACGATGAAATCTTGAATGGCGGTTGATACACTCCGGAGAGTTTCAGAACGCGCTGCACTTACGCGGCGGCTACGCTTGCACAGGATTTGCACCGCAAAAAGGATATATCGGCGCTTTCGTCGCCTTTCATGTACAAGCGAGATAAAATTTTATTGGTCTGTTGAGGAAAGTATCACCGATTTCGGTCCCGCTGCGCAACTTATAGTTTAACGTTTTGCACGACGGCCGCGTTGGAAAAAATGATTTCTCGTTATCCTCCGCATGGGATCTCGAGTCCAGATTCCGGACGGGATCTGGGCGCTCACGTATTGCGACTGGACTTGATTAACAATAGGTACTCACCGTGACTTGCTGATTAGTCGGACTAGGGCTAGGGCTGGGCGTGGAATTTGGCGTGGAGAGCTCGCCCGACGCGGGGGAGGGCGAGCTTGCAGCGACGCTGCCGACGGTCGGAAATGCTCTCGCCGGATCGGCTTGCCATTGTTTATGGATTTGCTGCGAGGTGTCTCGGAACCGCGCGCCCTGAAACAAAAAGCGCACAATTTCTTGTTAATCATGTCAGTAGTCGAGACGTTTTCTGAATGTAATTAGGAACACATGCCAGTCACTTTACGTCAAATTAAGAACGCTGCAATCATTTTATATAATAACAAAAATTAAAACATATTTTTTTTTATATACATACACAGGCGGTTCTTGAGTATTGAAAAAAATAATTAAACAACTTTTTATACAAGACATATTCATCACGCTTTCGTTCCGTCCCGTCAAAGTGAAAGTACGACGAGTTCTTTGCGCGTAAACACGCATATTACATGGCGTGTATTACAGCGTGTCATCGTGTGACAATTAATACGCGTCGCGGACGCGCTACTGAACACTCGCATCCTTGAAGAACTGGATTGTACAGATTGCTTATGCCTGTACATACGTCACATCATCCGATGACACAGTTCGATTAGTCTCGGATATTTGCCTCTAGACAATCGTATCGAGATCTGTCGCTCCGCTCCGTTGATCCGACAAGTCTATTAGAACAGCGAGCCGATCTACGACGGCTATAGCCGTCAATAAGGCTGCGCTTCTTACTAAATTTTACATCAACCTGAAATACCGTTAGTAGTAGCTATCTAGTTTCACATCATCCTACAAGTAATATCAGCCGGAGCTAAAAGCGTTAGGTTACGAGTAACTATAAATGAAGGCTTAGCGTAGAAGTTCAATTAAATGCTAACAGTTAGAAGCCGATAATAAGGGCTAAAAATATACATTAATTTATTTCTTCTTTTTTTTTTACGTCACGCGTAACAGCACATTTAATTTTTCCGCAACGCTTATCATTTAATTTGAATAAATGATTGAAAAATATGTGTGTCAGGCGTTTAATCATAATGCGCATTCGGCGTAATTAATAGTTTCGTGGCGACTGTCAAGATGACAAACTAGCGGCTAGTGTAGGAGTTCATAGACCCCACGGCCGAAAGATCGCGTGCGCGTGTGCAATCCTCCAAGAACGGCGCCGTTCGTGGATGCGATAATTGCGCTTATGCAACGCCTCGCTGTAATAGCAATTAGCGTCGGGGGAGTGTGCAATAAAGGCCGTATAAGCGGAATCACTCGGAGCAAGCGTGTTCCGAAGGCGGCCTGCCGATCGTTGGGCTTTCGTCCGACGCCGGCCTTTTTAAGACTCGAAATCGCGCGGGGGCCCCGTGTTCGAACGCAAACGTATTATGGGGAGTCAATCTAAAATTTTTCACCCGTGTCAAATCGGCGCGCTCGACTGCCACGGCCTCGGAATTAATTTCACGAGGAATGAGGCTAATTTACATCCGCCACGGCATTCGCCTCGCAATCGCGGCCACATTGTATATAATAATATCTCACGTCGCGCCGTGTAATCTCCCGCAAGATTGCAATGCCGCGATTAAAGGATGCATTTTTCGGAAGCCTCGTGTGTGCCGCGCGCGCGCGCGCGCGTATCGCGCGGTATTACATCCGCGCGCGTGTCGGTCAAAGTGACACTCGCGAAATGGATTGCTAAAACAATCGCTATTTTATACAGTTACATATACGGCGGATATTTTTTTTCTCTCTTAGCATTTCAAAAACGCGCAATTTTTACATGGCACAATGCAGTTAATGGTATAACATTATTCATTGCGATTAAGAACTTGTAATAATTAAACAATGAATATTATATACTATGCGCGATAATTAATATTATAATACGTGTGCGATTTATTTATATATGTAGAATATTGAGTGATATGAATTCATCATCACGCAATGTAATATATTATGTACATTTCATTCAGCTGAAATCTCGATGTTCATGATGTGTGAGAGATCGAGTGAGAACGCATTCGTGTGTGTGTGTGCGCGCTACGCCGATCGTACAAACTCACATAAACGTTCGCGATCGAAACTAACGGGCCGCTGTGATTTAGCCTCCGTCTTTCATGATGCTGCGCCGAGAGTGATCCGGCACGATCGAGATCGTCAGATACGTCCGTGGCAATCCGCGCGATCTATGCGGAGGTCGACTACCGGATACCGGTACAGCGGAACGCGTGCGGGGTGCGATCGTTTTCATCGTAAACAAAGGCGCGGTTTAAATAGCGCTTCAGTTAAATCGCGATTTATAGCGGATAAAGCATAACGTTTGCGAAACGAAACTCTCTCGACACTGTTGTTTGTAATGAAGCGTACAGTTCGTACCGTGACACGGCGAAAATTTAACTGTTTATATTGTGGATTCGTTTAAACTTATTTACTAATCGAGCTCTTTCAAGCTGCACCTGCTTTTATAATCCGCATTTAAAGTCCCTTAATTAAAGTTTCATTTTGAACAAAGAAATATTTTTGACGAGTCCTTTTTTTGCTATAAAAAAATATTAGTTGACAGTTTATCGCTGGAAAAAAAGTCCTTCGTTATCAACCAGTCATCCCCTTTTCTCTCCTCTCTGTTGAAGTGTATAGCCTACCGCGATTCCTCGATAAGATCGACCGTTATCTAACATGTAATCCTCGCGCGAACACGCGCGGTCGACTCGAGCACGCGGCGGAAATTGATTGCATCGCGGTAATGCAACGGGTACGTTGCGATGCAGTTCCGCTTTTTTTTTGTTCCTTCTTATCCGCGGGAGGGTTGTAGCCGTAGCAATGCCGCCACGAGCAGCGACGTCATTTCGTTTGCGTGCGACGTCGCTCTCTTGTGGATTAAACGCTTCGCGAAATTTTTCAGGATCGAGTGTCCATCGGAGCGTGGAAATGAGCCCGCACGGCTGAGCTTCGCGGCGATATATATCGGGCACAACGTGCAACGTTACTCGACAACCGAGACGACACGCCGCGCTTCTAACCGAGGTTTTGCGGGCACGCCGGGAGTTCTCGGAATTTCGCTGTGATTTAAGGTGCGCTGTTAAGCAAACTCATCTCGTTCTGGTATTTTGTGTCACGAGTCGAACTTTTTAAATTATGCGCGTCGGAAAAAAAAAACGCCGTCATTGATTTGAAAAATTTTCATAAAATGTCGTTTGATGTCAAATTCTAAATAATTTTTTAATCAGTATTATTAAATAAGAATATTTTTTGTACTAATTTGAAGAATTAAAAAATCCAAGTACAAGAACAAGGTGTATAAAACATTTATCATATTCAGAAGAAGCTAGTTCTCCCTCGAGAGCTATGTACATCATGACGTATTCGTTATTCCCGCGTCGTTAAAATTGAACGCGCTTGACGTGCCGACGAGGTGTTGGCATGCCAATCGGACCGCGTGTCTTCGAGCGACGATACCGAGCGCGCGAGGATTAATCGTACGATCGCAAAAATCGTCGCGGCGCGTCGAGAAGCGGCTGCGCGCGCGGCAAACGCGCGCCGAATTAAAGTTCCCTTCGGGTTCGATGCCGCGGCGCATCTCCTATCGAGCGATCTTACCGCGTACCTCGTCGAAGAGGTCGTCCAGTTCTTTCCGAGATATCTTGGCCTTCATCCCGCGGGCATTCCTCGCGTCGAACTTCCCCGACGTCTCTTTATCTCGACACTGCGCGGAAGAGACGAAACAAGAAGAAGAATCGAGAGGGAAAGGACGAGAAGGACGTGAAGGTCTTGTTTCCTTTCGCTTCTTCAAATGTCATGAGCCGGGCCTCTTCTCTCGCGTTTCTGCGGATGCTCTCGAAAGACGTCGGATGTTCTTAGACACATAAATAGTCGCGATGACGTGCAACAAAACACGAGAAAAGGTCGCGCGATAATGGCCGCGATGGCGCGCGGCCGGTTCTGCACTCTTCGTCCTCGGAAACGCCGCAGTCGCAGCCGGTCACGTCGGTCCATCATTCATCGCCGCTGTTCAACCTCCACTCGATTGGAACACACATCCGGAACAACTCGTACGGAATCGCACTGTCACACGATACGTTGCTTCCGATTCTTTACTTGAACCTTTGCTGATATTTTAAAAATTAAGAATTGACAATTTCTATTACTTGATTAAATAATAATATACGATTAATAAGTATATTATTATTATTTTTGTAATCTTAGATATAATTGGAAGCGGACATTGTTGTATTTATTAATTATTTATTGAATAATTTATTCAATGGAAAATATATAGAACGGGTATTCTCAATGAAATATTTCGAGCGTGTATGATATATCTCGATAATTACTGATTCCTGATTATGCATTCAAAGATTGATAATAATATTCTTTGTGCGATAATATTCAGTATGGAAATTTATTGGTCCATTCGGCAAATCTGGCGATATTTTCCTCGCGCGTCCCGACTTCAGCATACAAATCCACGCCTCGAATTCGCGTGACCTCGTCGATAAACCGCGGAATTCTTTCAGGAACTTTGAAAGCGACATCAATTCGTCTCACGTGTTTGCTCGCAGCGCATGCTGACATTTAAAATATTTCCCTCTCGAAATAAAAGGGATCTCGAATACTATTTATATCCCTTCGCGATTCTTTTACAGGCAACACAACATTTTTCCCTCAGTAAAAGGTTCGTGCGATTTCAATAAAGCTATGTTTTAAAATAGCTTTCTTCACTAAAAGTAAAATTTATTTATTGCGCCAAATTTATTATAAAAGAATTATTAATCATAAATTTTGGAGGAAAGTTAAAGTGCAAAAGTGCGGGTGGAAAAATCACTTTCGCCGTACAATAACGGTTTTACGAGTCTGTGCACTTAAGTCCGCAAGAAAACCGCCATTTTTGTACTTGTATCTTTATCCTCGAAACGTAACTCGCCACGTCCATGCCGAATTATCAAGGGTTCATTACTCTTTCTCTCCAAGCGGCACTTCCGTTCACGGCGTATCGTGTTCCAAGCGGATACTGAACTTCGAATATCGCTGCAGCGATATCGATATATCGGACGCATAAAATGTGTACGGTTTCTCGGTGACAGAACAGCGGAGTGCGGCGATGTTCTCACGACGGTCCTCGATCCAGCCGATTACGATCTCTCGGTTTCTTTTCAACGTGCCGCGCGGAGGATTTCCGCATG